GAGCACACAGAAAAGTCCAGGTCTAACAAGAAGGGATTTATTTTCTGACTGAGATGCTTTTAGATCTCTGCGTCAATAGCCCAGTTTAGGCATGCTGACCAAAATCCCCTGCAGTCCCATAATGAGCTCCCATCCCTTTATCAGGGTATAGGACTGCTTGTGGGTGGGCTTTGCTTGCAGGTGTTGTTTAGGACTATTTGGTTCAATGTTCTTTTCTCCTACAGCAAGAGCTGGCATCTCAGACCATATGGGGTTCTGGTCTGATAGCAAATCTGTCAGGAATATCTCTGAATCTTGCTTGGTATGAACTTTCATCCCATGTCTCCATGTGCCAGCCAATGTGTACAGAAAGGGAGTGCCATTCATAGGTCTTTTCACTTCTATTCTGAGAACTCAGAGGACACTGCAAAGGAGAGAATCACAGTGCAGAGTTTGAACCTCTTCCAAGAAAAGTGGCATTAAGATCCCTGCAGAAGTGTTCTTCACATAAAAGAAAATTCCACCAATCTTTTCTCACATAAGCCCTTTTGAAGCCTCAGTGCTTAGTCCCTCTCCCTTTCCTGACCCCCCAGCACTTCTTTAATTATGGATTTCAGGGTGCCTGGGATAAGCGGGCAGACAGGCATCTGAAGAAAGCAGGAGCAGGTATGAAAGCAAATCATCCAGCATCTCTGGTTTTTACAATTATTTTGAGTTTCTGGTAAGAAATAATAATAATAAAAAAAACACTCTTCATTCTTGCATTTAAATATTCTCACATATAAGATGATTTTTTCCAACAATAACCCTTGTCATCTGCCTGCGTGAATTTTTTTCTTGGCCTTAACAGCACGAATTCACATTGTGATTGGGCCAATGCACTCTGCCTCAGCTCAGCCCACAGCCCTGGCAGCCCCTTTGGGCAGGGGGGCCTTCCGCTGGCAAAAGAGATGATTAAGGGAGAATTCAATGGAGATCTATAAAATCCCGAGTGGCTTTGAGAAAGTAAATGAGAATTGATCACTTGCTGTCTAATACAGGAACTAGAAATTCCAATTAAATTAACTGATGGTAGGTTGAAAACAACATAGTGCTCTGTGTGGCATGGCATTCTGCCATGAGAGGCTGTGGGTGCTAAAAGTTTACGTGAGTTTGAAGTGGGATGGAAGAAAATTTGTATACAACTGAGGCATAGGCACCACCTATTAGGGAATTCTGAAGATGAATTTATCAGAAGGTGTGAAAGCAGTGTGGGGAAATACCATTATACAGCTTATACTCCTTCCTGAGCATCTGCTATTAGCTGCTGTTGAACACAGATACTGGGGGAGACAGGTTTTTTTTGTAGATTTCCTAGCAGCTAAATAAATGCACAGCTTTTTTTCACAGCAGTCTGAGCTCAATTCCCTTTCTTCCTTCTGCTCTGGAATGGTGAGAGCAGCTCTGAGGCAGAGCAAGAGGATGCTAACCAGCTGTCAGAGGATGTCTTTGAGCTGTGCTGGGAAGAGCCGTGCACTGAGCTCCTCTGTGGGAGCTGGGGCAGGCAGGAGCAGGAAAGCAGCATCTGCATGCTTGGAGTAGGATGGAGGGCTGAGAAGATTCAGATATATCTGATATATATGCCAGGACACAGGGAAGGGAGTTAAACAATTGAATAAAACAAAAAATATATATTTTTCTCAGGTGAGAAGCTTCAGTGGAAAACCCAGGTAAGGTAAATCATTAAAGGCAGACAGATGTTTCTTGCTTGTTTGCCCTGCTTTTCCTGTCTTGAGGCTTTTTTTTTTTTTTTCTTTTTTTCTTTTGTTTTTCTTTTCTATTTGCCACATGGAGAGAAGGATCTGGGATGAGAAAACATTCAGCAAAGTACAGAATCAGATAAGTGCTCTGAGCACAAAAACACAGCAGTGGCTTTGGCCTTGGCATGTGGCCAGCTTGCCCCTATTCTACTTGGGCAGTGAAGCACGGCATAAAGGACAGCTTGAAAGGCAGAGTTTGTTAAGAACAGCATGGGGCAGTTCTGTCACTTTGGTTTTATGTTGGTCCTCCTCTCTACTGCCCCACTTTGGTTCAGGCAGGGAGGGCTTGAAAGCAAGTGCTGCTACTCAGCCACAGCAGCAGCCTGAAAGGAGCAAGAAAAAATTTAGGGTTTGCATCTGAATATAAATACTGCTGGAAATGAAACAGCCTATTTCAAAGGCTGTTAAAACATCATTTCTTTGTGGGGGGAGTGGAGGGGTTGGAAGCAGTGTAGCAGAAATGCTGAGTCACAGCTTCAACCAATGATGGAGCACCAGGTGGGAAGGCAGGGCCAACCCAGGGGAGCTCAGCTGCATGCAATGCACCTGAGTGACATGAAGGGCTGGAGCCAGGATCCACCCCTTCCCAGACCTCATTTAAGGGTTGGCAGCAGAAGTGAGGGCATCTCACTGGGTTTCCTGGTTCTGGAGTTTTGTTGCTTCCATTGGGTTTGTCAGTGGTAGGACACTGGCTTATTTGTCTCAGCTTTTCTTTGAACATATTAACATTTCTGAGAGTTTATCTGTTTCTCTGATGGCATTCAAAAGCTGAGAACAAAGCTGCTCTATGCAACTGGAATTCCTCCTGTGTTCTCTCCACCTAGCAGGGCAATGCCTGTTTATGCCTACACTGCTAAAAGTCTGACCAGCAAAGCCTGGAAATGTGTGCCCTTGCATGCTGCTCAGCTCTGGGCATGAGTTAGGATACACAGAAGAGCAGCCATCAACAGGGCTCTGCTGGAATCGATTTTTGAGTAAGTATCTGCTCACAGCAGCAAAAGTGTAGGTGGAAACACTGAGCTTTGCTTTGTTTTGGACAACTATTGTCATTTCTGTTCATTTGTGTCATATTCTGAAGGCTCGTGGGAACTGATGGTACTTCTCGCTGAAACAGAAAAAACAAGCAGAGCATCCCTTGTGAGCCCTTCTGAGAAAGGTTTGCACGAGCTGGCAGCCAGTTCTCACGTGGCCCTCATAGAGCTGTAGAAATCAGCTCCAAGAAATCAGATCACTTGGTTGGCCACTTTCCTTTTATGCTTTTACAGACTTGGCTGCCACAATGAAGATGAAAATCTAATGCTCTAAACCAGAATTAGTTTTTTCTGTCCTGTGTACCAATACCTCTCTGAGTTTCCTCACTGCTGCAGAGCACAAGAGTCCATGTCCTGAACAAGGGATGTAACGTGCAAGAGGCTGTACAAACAGAGCAAACTGCTCTCCTAATGCATTTGCGTTGTACGTGTAAATCATCAGGTGATGTGGATAGATACAGAGATGGATATATAGGGGATAGGGTAAATCCAGGGCAAAAGTACCCTGACTTTTTTTTTTTTTTTTTTCAGGTGGGGGAAATTAGGGCAAAACAAAGCTTAAGGAGTTACTGGTATTGGACAGCATTCCCCATTACACAGATGGGTGGATCAGCTCATGGTAGAAACAGTAATGGACAGTGATGAGCACTACCCAGTGGAAGGGAGGATAAGCTTCCCTTTGTCACTTGTGTGGGACGTTCCAGCTGCTGACATCCTCTGTCCATCCTTGTTAACGAAGGGCATAGGAGGGCCTCTGGGAACTGGGTCAGTGGCAGCTCCAGCACAGTGCAGCCTAATTAAGCTAGGGGAAATGAGCGGGAGGGAAGGAACCCTGCAAGACCAGCAGGGAAGGCAGCTGTGTTTGCACAAGCAGATAAAGCTGCTTTTCCACCTGCCCTGGTGAGCTGCCTCTTGATGTTCCCTGTAGGGTAGAAGACGATTCCCACTGCCAAGACAGCCCTGTAAGCTGTTCTGCTGCTGAATGCTTGCTTGGCCCTAATTTTTCTCAAAGGGCCAACAGTCCTGCTTGCAACAAATTTCTTGCTGGGCTTGGGAGGTCCAGCATGGCCTGGGCCACGTTCTCCCCAGCTTCTTCAATATTATTTTCTTTAGTGCATGAAAGAGGGGGGGGAAAACGTCTTAAAAAAATCCCCCAGGATAATGCCAAACCAAAACAAGGGAGACCTTTTGTTTTCAGACCAGGAATGTGAGATGAGCAACAAAGTTTGCTCCCAGGAGCTTTAGGTGGAGGTGGACTGAATGTAAACTATGTAAACGCCAGTGAGAGGTCTGGACCCAGATCCAATTTTCCCAGTAGCACAGGGTCAGTCAAAACTGCAGTGTTTATGTGGACACGTTGTTTTCTAAAACTAATTTCTATTCAGTTGGTTTTCTGTGTCTTGGAATAATGTAGTTGTATTCCTCCTACCACAGTACTGTTGGCAGGGGACTTGGAACGCTGGCAGCATCAGTGCTGGAAACAGCAACACCTGGGAAATATTCTCCATCACTGCCCTTCAGTTAACTATGCAAGAGCTGCACAGTCCTCTGGTTTGTGTAGACTAATAGTTGAGTAATGCAGTCTCCTTTTGAATGTTGATCTTCCTGTTCTAGATCAAGAATGAGCCACACATTGATTGAATGACCTACCCTCGGTCAGTGAGTGACTCATTGGCAGAGGCAGGAATTGACACACCTGATATCTCTGTGTTCCCACTTCCTAGACCCCACAGCCTCTTGTTTTAGTGTTCTGCCCTTTCCTCTCCTGCCTTCTTTTGCCTCTTGCCCACTGTAGGATTTGTTACGCGTGTGATTTCCAAGGAGACAATATTGGACCACTGCCAAGAAAACGAGCCATCTTTTCTTTGACACAGGCAGGCATACAAAGAAGCTAAAGTTCCTTTTATTTCTTATCTTTCTGGAATATTTTGCCACGTCATGCCTGGTTTGGTGTAACGCTCCTATGACTCCAGCACTGCCCACAGATCACTCAGTGGTAGTTTTTTTGTTGTTGTTCTTCTTCTTTTTCTAGAATTGTCTTTGCTGCAGTCTCCTACAGTGGGAATGCTCTGCCCATACCCACCATTAATACAAGGGCATAATCTGTCACCAAATTCAGTGGGTGGGTTTTATAAATCCCAGCTCACTATTCAGTGAGGTGTAACAGCTGTTGTGATCAATATTTTACAGCAAGTCTGTTTTGAGAAGAAGTTACAGTCAAGCCTTTAGCATCCCCCTGAATAGCTGCATAATTCACAGGGATGGCTCTAATCGCTTTAAGCTCTTTGCATTTGACAGAAAATTCAGAGTAATTCCGCAGAGAGGTGTCGCTTACAGCCACTGAGCCGAGAGAGGACAGAGCTTCAGGTGCTTAACGGCTTCTCAGGTGTGCTGGAGCCCAGTTTGGGGAAAAGCGGTCTCTTTTGTCATTTGGTTTGGCTGACATCCTTCACGATGATTTCCGACGTGCTGGCAGTCAGCGTGGAATCCATACCCTGTACTTTCATAACTTCGCACACGCCGAACTCTGCACGAGCACCGCGAGATGCCACAAAGGCACAGAAACATTCCGGCGCCGCCAGGAAAACAAAAGCAAAAGAGGAACCGCAATGAGCCCGGCGCTCAGCCGGTGCCCAGCTGCAGCCTCCAGCTCCCAGCCCTGCCCTCCCGGCCCGGGGCAGCGCTCAGACGGGCGGGTCTTCACCGCCGCCCGTTGCCTTTCGCTCTGGGAGGCGGTCCGGCCGCTTCCCTCCCAGCGCCCGAAAGCCGCGGGGCGCGGAGCTCCGTAAGCCGGGGCCGAACTGCGCTGCGTGCCGCCCCGCCATGCCGCGCTGCCCCGGTCGTGCCGCCCCGCTGCCACCGCCACCACTCCTCCACTTCCTCCTCCTTCTCCTCCTCCTCCTCCCGGCCCCGAGTCCCGCCGCCGCCGGCTGTGCCGCCCTGGGGCTGTGCTGCCCGGGCCGCGCCCCGTCCTGCCGCAGCACCGGCTGGCGGCCCGACGGTTCCTACGGGCCGTGCTACTGCGACCAGGCGTGCGAGCACACCCTCGACTGCTGCCACGATTACTCCCAGGCCTGCCCAGGTGAGCAAAAAGCCGTCGCTGTGCCTCTCGGAGAGCGAAAGACTGCGGGTAAACTGGAGCCGGCTGCATCCTTGTGACGGCGCCGAGGGCTGCAGGGTGCGCGCTGAGACGGCTCGGCTGGGTGCCCGGGAGGGGTGCGAGCTGAGCGGGCGTTATTTTAGCGAGCGGAGCCATCCCATATTCTTTTCCCACAGACAGCATCTTCACGGAGCCCTATGCGTTTACATAATTTTTTGTTTTGGTCTTTATTTTTCTGTTGTTGTTCTTTATTAACCTGAATAGCTGCGCTTTCGCGCAGTTTGCTTTAGGCAGCTGTTCCTGTGGTTCAGCTGCCTTTTTAATGAGAAAACTGATAATTCAGCCCAAAGACAGCAAGGGCTGGCGGCTCTGCAGACCGCTGCTGAGCGCTGCAGGGCAGCGGTGTCCGTGGGATCCTAAACACGTGTAGTCCCGGGGCAGCGGTGCCGCCTGTGCCCCCTGGTACCGTTCTGACAGCGCAGCCGGTACCCGCAGGAGCCCACAGCGTGCTTCGCCCGTGTCACAGAAGAGCGCTGAGAGCCGTGGCCGCACGCACGAGGAAGTGGCGAAGGGCACCGGCCGCTCTCCCCGCCGCCGCCGCGCTCTGTCCCGGCACTGAGCTCGGTGCTGCCGCCCCGTGGCGATTCCGCGGTACTGCAGCGCTGTGCTCGGGGCTGTGCGCGGGGACAGCGCCGCGTCCCTTCCCCTGAGTTCGCCTTGCAGCCTGGCCTTCTTTACGGAGCTCCTTTATCAAACTGGTTTTAAAGCAGGATATTATGGTGTTTACGTTAATGTCTGAAGCCAAGTGGAACTGAAAAGAGCGGAAGATTCCAAATAAATAGGATTACGAGAGGATGATAAGGTTGGGCAGCATACAAGCCATGGCACAGGCCTTTTTTGTAGCACATTGCTGCATCTTAGTTAGAGAATTGTTTTCATTCCTAATCTTTGAATGGGTTTAAAAAGCACCCTTATAGCGCCCTTGGGTGGAGAAAAGCAGCAGCGTTTGAAAGATCTTCCTAAAGTTTCTGAAGGCAAGTTATGGTTTTGAATGAGGTTAATGCAGTAACTGGGGGTTATCTGTGTGTGTGGGGGAGCACATGGAGGAATCAGGGTCGAACTGCTCAGGAATGCTGCTGTGTGTGGGAGATTGAAGCGGTGATGCCGCAGACCTGCCAGATCCATGCATTGGCCCTGCTGAAGTCAGATGCCCTTAGTGCTGCTGTGATGCGTTGCTGCACAGTGGCTCACTGCAGTCATGAGGTACAGGAATGCAAGGAGTGAGGCTGCAGCTGATGGAGAATATATAGGAGACATAAGGGGACTTTCCAGAAGAAGCCTATTTGACTTGAGGAACCCAAAGGACATCTTGGGCAGCTCAGGAATTCCTGTGGCAATGTGGCACAATACAGCTTTCCACCCACTATGTCCAGCTGACAGATAAAGTGAATATAGGCCACCCAAATACGAGGGAAAAAAGGATCATAGTGAGGTCTCAGCTTCTCTGCACCCGTGTGCTCCTGTTACTGTTCTCAGTCAGGCAAGGAGGATTGAGTTGTGAGACACAGTTAATTACAGAAGGCATGTGAGGCTGCGCCGCTGCTGATGGCAGCCAGGAGCTCCTGTGCTGGCCAAGCACTGCTGCTAGGGCAGCCAGCCAGGGTCCTGCCAGGAGAAGGAGTGATGCCAGCACAGCCAGGGTTGGAATGCTGCTCTTCTTTTGCCTTCTGCTCAGTCAGGACAGATGGTGCAGTTCGCCGATGAAGAGTGGACAGAGAAGCAGTGAAATGTTTTGGCAGTTTTGTCTCAGGTAATCTTTGGCTGTAATAACAAATGTGTGGTTGAGCATCTGCAGAACTGTTTCTTAGTAGTGTTGTCAGGGCAGTGAAGGGGGGGAGGGGTCCCCAGTGTCTCTCTATGCTCCTGTAGCCACTGAAGAGCTTGATTAATTCACCCCTGCTCTTGCTCATGATTCTTTGATTCAGTCTAATACAAAACATCCTCAGTTCCCCAGTGCGGGTGCATTTGCACTGGAGCTCACAGCAGTGTAGCAGGAGGTGAGTGGCCCCATGCAGCCTAGACTACTTTGGTTGGCTGGAGCTTCTGGGAACAGACCTATCAGCGCAGCTGGGAAAGCAGAAAAACTCATTTCTGTAACGTTCCACGCTCTTTGTTTCTTACTCCTCCAGTTATCCCCTGCGTTGTATCTCAGTGGAGTGGCTGGAGTGGCTGTGCAGAGCCTTGCAAGACCACGTATCGTGTTCGGAGGAGGCACGTCATCCAGGAGCCCCGGAATGGAGGAGAGCCATGTCCTGCCCTGGAGGAGAGGGCTGGCTGTGTGGAGTACTGGACTGAGCAAGGAGCAGAGTGTAAACAGTCCCTGAGTAAGTCCTCTGAAAATGTAAGTGCCTTGGTAACAGAGGAGGGCTTGTTTGGGCCGGCAGATTTGGTCTTTATTTGAAAAGAGTTGTTTTCAAACACCATCAGATTTGCTCTGGGTCTGTCTGGTGGGACTGAGAGCTGAGCTCTGCACTCAGGGGTGTAGAGATATCCTTCCTGGGACAATATTTAAAAATAGTCCCTGCCATTTACTGTGGTCTGGTGTGTTTCAAAAGTGAAATATTACAGACCTGCCATGATCTCACAAGGGTAAATGTCTGGTAATTTTGATAGAGTTGGTAGATTAATGATGGTTTAAAACTTCTGGAAGTGTGTGTTGAATGCTATTTTTTTAATTAATGAGTCATCTGCAAAAAGCCATGAAGGAGCAATACCCATCAAAGGCAAGGTATGGCCTTTTCCCTTGGAGCAGGATACATGCAGGGGAAACCTCCTGCTATTTTCTGGAGGAAAGGTCTGATTTCAGTTTGTTCAGGTTGATTTTTCATGACACACCTTTACTGTTTTTTTTTTAAAGAACTGCTTGTGATTTTTTTGCTGTTATTTTTGGGTCAAAATCTGTCCAGTCTGGAATTTAGCTACAACTGCTTTTATCAAACTTGTTGCATTTATGCCAGTGGTAAATATTGCCTCCTCCTCTGTCTTTGGGTGTGCCTGATAGGAAGGCTCACACTACTCAAGCAAAAATCTGGCAACAGTACAAATTTTCTTTTCAGTGAAATGGTTGATGGGAACCAATAGCACAAAAATACACGGTTGTGTTTGTTTTTCTCTCCTGCCAAAGATAAAACCAAGTGACATTAAAGGCCCATCTCCACTGTTTTGCAGACACTGACGGCCTCAGTGTGGTGTAAGCACTTACACTGTGTACTCTTTCTCTTTGATATATGCAGTCCCTGCTTTAATAACAACGGGAGGGTTTGGAAAAGCAAGGAAAAAAAGAGCTGCAGCTGATGGCAGTGAAAGAGTGGGGTAAGTTGGTGCCTCAGCACAGAGGCACAGTCATACTCTACCTTGAATATTTCTCTGCAGCTTTGGGCCTGGCTTCCTGCTGATAAGAACCAACATCTCCCCCCAGGACAGGGCACTTTACTTTAGGAGAGTCATTTACCAGCTGGACCTTATGGGTCCTTACTATGGAGAGAGAAGTGTGTGCTCCTAATCCAGAGTTTCTTTTCTGTCTAGACATGTTGCTGAGGCTTGGTGTGGGCAGGCGTCATGGATTAGAAATGTTATGGCTGTTGTTGGGCTCTGAGGGTTCATGCTGAGCCCTGGTGGGGCTGTGGGGGTTGCTGACTTGGGGGATTGTGTCTTGGTATCAGAAGTGGAAACGGGGGCTGTTTGCATGGATCTATGTGAAAGGAATAAGTTCTCAGGAGACAAAATCTGCTACCTTATTGCATGGGAAACTCGTCTTCTGCCACTTCAGCTCCTTTGGGCTGCCTGTTTCTGCTGTTTGTTTGTTTCTAATTAATGATGTGTGGTCGCTGAATTTACTCTGGCTCTTCCAGTGCTGCAGAAGGTTCTAACATGGTTACGAAGCTAACCCTCTATGGTTATTTTGGCTGCAGGTACTGCGTGGAGTTCCAGCTTGTGGCCATCACGCAGGGCTGCCTGCACAGTCACCACTCGTACACTCACTGGATGCAGTATCTCAGGGAGGGCCACACCGTCTGCGTGGAGTGTCAGCACCCGGCTTTAGACTCTGAGAGTCTGCATTGCTATGGGGATGGCAGTGGAAGCCAAAGGTAAGAGTTTGGGTTTCTTTTTTCATGTTGAATTTTTCATTCTCCTCCCTCCCTCGATCTGCTCGTCCCAGTTTCATCATGTGCTTTGTTCAGCTCTCTGAGCACTGTCCATGTATTAGCTGGTGATGCTTGCTGCATACTGTGAGTTAGGCCAGAAATCTTCTAATCGTTTTCTTGCAGAAAACTCAAGTATTAAACCATTAAGCCAGGACTAGAAAGTTCTGCACTTAGTCTGCTAAATCTCACAGACTTCTAAGTGGAACAGTTGTGAGTTGGTGTTTTTTTTGGTGGTGATGTCTTAAAGGTACTTGAGCCATACCTCTAAGGTTAACAGTCCTATCAGGTCAGTCTAATAAAACAAAATTTGTGAGTGATTTTTTAAGAACTGGGGATTTTGCTTCTACAAGTGACTCTTAGTGAGTACTTCTGGCAAGTGGTAGCTGGCTTAGGGGCTTGGGCTAAGTGCTGGCATCTGCACTTGGATGGTAGCACTGTTAAATCTCTGCTCTTTCAGCATCCTTTCCCTGGGAAGCTGAAGAAGATTTTGGGTGATTAATGGGGAGCACCCAAGGTGTGCAGATTGGGTGGACTTCAATGAAGGCAAAGGGAATGGCTTGAAGCTGTGACACATCTGTGGCAGAGCCAGCAGCAGAGGAATCCTGGGTCCACAGCCTCTGCTGTGGTCATTGGAAGCACAGCTTCTGCACTGCTTTTATCCTGATAGATACAATTCTCTGAGATAAAATGCTCTTTGAGTTTAACTCCCTTCTAAATTTGTTAAAGGCATTCTATGAAACTACAAAACAGCCTGGGCTGACGTTACTTGTCATTGTCATTACTGTATTGAAAGCTGTTTTCCCTGCTGGTTTTTTGTCATTGTGTTGAGGAATGTTTTTAAAATGTATACAGAAGTTGAAATAAGCATGTTCATTTGAATTAGGAACTCTAAACTGAGTTTGTTAGGCTTTAAGCACAAAGTATTGCGCTAGCAGGACTACCACTAATGGCTCTTTTATCAGGGTTTTAGTAAGAGGAAGTCATGTTGGAGTTGTTGTGTACAAAGGTTCCAAAAGCTTTTTAGACAAAGAAGAAAGAAAGACTTATTGGTGTGGCTAGGAAAGTTTCTTATTTGCATTCAATCTGAACGTTATTTTAAATGATTGCAGTAATGTTATTTTACTGAAGTTCTGGAGCCAGAAAGGAACATCAGGTTAATTGAAGTAAAAAATACATTCAGGAATTCATTTCCTCTCAGGGCTGCAAAAAGAGGAAGGCGTTTTCATTTGCCGAGCTATCTGTTGAACAGCACTGTTCATGGAATAGGAGCACAAAGAAAATGTGATGGTGTGGATCACAGCGATCTGATCCTTGTTGGCAGGCTGAAGGCTGGAGATGGGCAGTGGTAGTGGTGATTGGTTTATTGACTTCAGTGAACCAAGACTCAGCCCACGGCTCAGCAGCTGGTTTGAATCCACCCCAACAAAGCAAAACCTAGGCATAGGTTATAGGCATGTGGAAACGAGCAGGGAAAACAGCTTTCAATACAGAAAGCTTTCACCTCTCCAGTGCCTATAATATCAATTCAACTAATGTCTGTGACATTTTCTGGGCAGGTATGAGTTCTCTGTGTGTGCCAAGCTGACGTAATGTGTGCGTTCACTTAAGTTCATTACTGAGGTGGCAGTGTAAGCTTGCAGAACAGGCAGTGCTGGTGTGGGCAGTGGACAAAGCTCAGAGCTCTGCAGAAGACAATGGAGATGCATTTCATGCCTCCTTGATCTGGCAGTGCTGGGCAGTTTGGTCAGAGGTGAGTGGGCAGCTGGCAAGTGGGATGTGAGTGATGTCTCCACTCTGCAGCTTCCTTCTCCTGTGTGTGCACGTGAAGCCTCCCTTCCCTTTCACATGCATCTACTAGATAACCTCCATGACACAGTCTGGTGTTCTTCAACGCTGTGTGACCTTATTACAGTGGTGGATCAAGTTGGTTCTTTGCTAGGGCTGGATATCTCGCTTGATTTACTTGATTTCACATCCTAAGTATTTAATATAGGTGTTCTTTATATGAACAGAACTAACCCATAATTAGTTTCTAGAAATAATATGCTTTTTTTACCAGGTTACTTGGTGGAAAAAACTGACCTCCGTGGTCTCTTAGAAGAAACTGGACTCTTGTGGGGACAGCCATTGATTGGGATGAGGGAAGTGTCTGTGAAAAGGTTTCTGCCTTCGATTAGAGTAAGTGGGCATAGCTGAGCATGCAGTGTTGGCATGGAGTGGTGCTCTGAAAGTTGCATGGTGAGAGCATAGGCTGGGATTTGCTGGAGAACAGAAGCATGATGCTTGGAAAGAACAGTGAAAGAAGATGGGGAGGCAACTGCTGCCCTGAGAAAAAAGGTGATGGGAGGTCAAAGCTGATGCCAGCACCTAGGATGCAGCGTGCTGCATGTGTGAGTGCACTTAGATCTGCTCCTGAGCCTCTGGCTGCTTGCTCAGTTCACCCTCATTTGGAATTTTTTGCCTGTGCAGCTCTACTGGTCACTTTGCCAGGGAGCCAGGGGCAGCTTGCTGGTGACCTCAGAGCAAGTGTGTGGCTGGCCTGTGCCATGGCACTGCCCTGGGTCTATCAGGCTGTGCAGTGATGCACATACAGCTGCTGCTGTCACACCCACGCCGTGCCTGTGCTCACACTGTTGGTTCAGCAGCTCATGCCAGCATTTGGTTCACTGAGATATTGTTCCAAGAGTGACTCTCAGGAAGGAAAACATCTGACAAGAGTTTAAAATAAACTCGGCAATGCTGGTATATTTTGATGAGTATTTCCTAATTATCATCTTCTGTCTAAGTGGAGTCTGGCTTATAAATGCATCAAAATAAAGAGAGATGTTTGTTGTCTGTGCCTTCCACCTGTCCTGTACTGTGTAGAGGCTGGTTTGTCTTAACTCCTGTTGTGAAATGAGTGCAAGCTCAGGAGTTTCCCACATTTCTGATTTGTGGTCAGATCTTTATGGCCACCAGATGAGGATAAGGTGGGATAATTCAATAGCTCCGATTGACTTCTTCCTTCTGGATGGTTATGAGATAAACAAGGTGGAGCATTAAACCTCGAAATTGATCTGTTAATTTTGCATCATATTCTGAAAGATCTACAAATAAAGCCCAGAGCAGCAGACTTGACATCTGTGAAATTGTTACTCAGCCTGTGTTGAGGCGGATCAGCTGCTCTTCATCATCTGGAGCAAGCTGTGCTGGTGGTAGCACATAAACATCCATCCGGACTGCAGTAGTTTATGCCCATGCTTGTTGGGCGGGGGGAGAAGGAGAGTGGATGGATGTGATTTATAAAGTCAGTATCTGCCTTCTCCACCAGCCAGACTGGAGTTGGCAAGCTTAGCTGATGTGTTTAAGCAGTAAAGCCTTTTAAAGGTAAAGCTGCAGCCCAGAGTTTTGAAAGGTATGGGGCTGCCCTTTGTGCAGCCTGCTTTATCGGGGAGCTTAATCCTCCCTCTGTGGATTCTGGTATTTTGAAATGACCTTAAGCCAGGAAAAAAATACAGTGAGCCTTTTTCCAACCATGTGTGATGCATAAAACCCTGCTGTGGAGCATGACATCTCATTAAACTAAGGGCAGAGTTAGCCATGTGGAGCTACAGTAGTAATTCCAGTTTCCAGAACTATAAAACAAGTTAGGGATCTGTTTGGCTGTTCTGCTGGCAGCCCTCTGCACAGGGCACGAGGTGGTATCAAATTGTGGTGTCTGTGCATCTCTAAAGGACAGGGCTGGCACACACAGGTGTGAGGAATTCCTTTAAACTTCTGCACCATCAATTTGAGGAAGGAACACACTGTGTGTGCTTCTTGTACTGTAGCTGCTCACAGAGATGAATTTTGCAGGTCTCATGTTCAAATCCAGGTCCATGTGCTCATAAGGGAGTAAGTATCTTAATAAAGCCTTTGCTGCTGCTGCTTGCAGTGAACCTGTGCTACAGCAAAATTTCTGTGGCTCTCGGGCCAACATTTCTTCTGCAGCCACTGATTGTGACAAATAGCCTGTGGATCTGCTTGGTTGTTTTAATAGGATATTTCTCTGTTCAGTTCTGGTCGAGGTATTGATGGACTGCCTGAAGGAAAAGTGTTGTGGTTTGGGTTTTTTAAGTTTTTTTTTCATCTTCTCCTTAAGAGACCTGTCAGTAAGCTTGTTCCAACAAGTGGACCTCTGATACCTTTAGCTAGCTGCAGTCAGGAAGTTGTGTTAGTGTACAGCTCTTAGGAAGATAGAAAAACTTCAGCAGGTGTTCCACTGACATGGTTACCCAGAGATGCTCATGTCCCTGCTCACACAGACCTGTGCAGTGGGTTGCATGCTGGGAATGCTCCATATCTCGTTGGCTATGGATGGCAATAGAGCTCTGCCTGCTGAGAAGAGGCCTGGTGTTAACAAAGAAAACCACTGATTCTGCCCATTCTGCAACCTGGCAATTGTTTCAGTACAGGAGTTACAGGGATGTGGGTTCACTTTGTGAATGGTTGCATGCAATGATGGATGCCATGCAGAGTGTTTCTCTGACTCCTTTTGGATTTAACACCCACACTGCGTGCTGCTTTGGCTAGTTGTGATCTGCTTCATGTTATCATAACCCTGTGGGGGTCACTGCAGGTACTTGTTTACAGCAGCAGAAATGGAGGATTGGGTCCATGAAGTGAAAATTGATGTTAGCAACCTAAATGGAACTTACTGGGTGATTTGCTTTGCTTGAACAAGTGTGCCTTCCTGCTGCAGGAGTGCAGCAGGCTGACTTTCTCCCTCTTATGCTTCTGTTTCAGGAATCAGCTGTTGCACTGGCAGGCGGTGGGGAACCCTCGATGCAGCGGAACGTGGAAGAGAATTCGCCAACTGGACACTTGCTCCTGTCCTTCTGTTCACAGCTTCTTGTTCATCTAACTCCTGACAGTCCCTGCAAGTGAGCACTGTGATGGCTTGTCTGGCACAAACACGCAGTAGTAACCATAACCAAAACAATGACTTCTCCACAGCAGAGGCTGTGCTGCTTACTTTCAAGAGTTTGCTGTCTGCCCTGGGTCATGCTGAATGCTGTACTCCTCAGTTTCCAAAGAAATGAGGCTGGCTGTGAAGTGCCAGTCTCTATATATCCATTCCTATAGCCTCTTCTGCCTGACAGAAGCTTTCTGGCCCCAGTGACTTCTTTCAAATCACCCCCTCCTTCACATAATAAAACAGAAAAAAAAAATCCTTATAGACCCAAGTTTAATTATTGTTTCCTAAAGTCCCACCAAAAAAACAAAAAAGCCCACAAAAAACCAACAACACAGAATGAATTAACTCAAGTGTGCCTTTTTTGTGGCAATAGCATTTCTTCATGGATCCTTGTGCTCATACCTTTTCCTTTTTTTTTTTTTTTTCCCATTTCCCTTCCCCAATCTCATCATTTCATATTGATCTTTGCTTCATATTGATCCTCAGTCTTACACAAGGTTGATCTTGCACTGCTGAGATAATGACAAAACTCAGAAATGAGCCTGTTCCAATCTGCGAGGATTGAAGGTACCAGAGATAAATGGGAGTTGGACTTCACGTTTCAAGGAGCATCTTGGAGTTGCCCCCAAATGCAGTGCAGTCCTGGAGCTCTAAATACCAAGTCATTCTAGATGTACCCGTGGAGGCTAGCTGTAGCCTTGTGGTTTTTTTTTTTTTTTTAACTGGAAAATATGTGAATTGTTTTCTTTATATTTTGCTGATTTATATTCACACTTTTCTATAAATGGAAATAAAAATGCTCTCCCAGTGTGAGGTTGCTCACCCTGTGTAGTACCATCTCTGTAGTGGCAGAGCCCACCTCATTTGTTCTAGGCAATCTTGCTGTCAACTCCTGTGGTCCAGCAGGTAAGTTCCTAGAATCATTAAAGTTGGAAAGACCACTAAGATCACCCAATCCAACTCTGACTGTTCTAAACCATGTTACTCAGTGGGACATCTGTTTTTTTTCCTTGAAAACCCCCAGGGACAGTGACTCCACCATGTCTCTGAGCAGCCCATTCCAATACCTTGCCACTCTTTCTGGGAAGTAATTTTTCCTAATATCCAATGTGAACCTCTCCTGGTGTAGCTTAAGGCCATCACCTCTTGTCCTATGTCTAATTACCTGGGAAAAAGAGACCAACCCCCAGAGTTGCTGCTGTCCAGTTCCAGAACTAGCTAGGGTTTACCAAAGGAGTAAAGCACTGTGACCTACCAGTATGCAAAGTGAATGTATTTCTTTCAACATACCCCTCATTCTGGATCTGCTTAAACAAAATTAGGTTCTAAACAGGTCACATCTAGTGTCTGTGGTGAGGATCTTTTGTAAAAACATTAAAATGCTGAGGAGAAGTGCTTGATTTGGATAGGTGTATGTGTAATGCAGCGAAGTCCAGCAGCACTCTACCCCTCCTGGTCATCACAATAGGGACTTGAAAGCAAGGCTCTGCTTTTTATTACATGCTACAAGCTGTCTCCGTGAATTAATGACTCACAGTAGAGTGATCTCATCCCAGAGTAACAGGACTGAAGAAAAAAGTTTGTTCTTCGCTGTCTGGCATAATCTACCTTTCAGGCCTGCTCAGGAAAACTCTGGCTTGTGAACAGAGGAATGCAATCTGCTGAGGAATGGCTTGTGAGTAAGTAACTAGAGTGCAGTGTTCTGATTTCAGCAGTGAGGAACTTCTGTTAAGCTAGAAGTCAATTCCTTAGTGGAAGTATGTAATCCTAGCAGCATTTAGCCACTGGAAGGTTTTCTCTATCCTGCAGAAGCCCCATGCTGGGCCCCAGGAACCTGAAGAGGCAGCTGCTCATGTCAGCAGCAGAATGAACCCGCTGTTGAAAATGTTTTGCTTTCAAAATCAACTCAGATATTCAGCCCAGTCTAGTATTAGATACGGAGGTTGATTGCCCTGCATGCAGCAGGGGGGGTTGGAGCTTTATGATCCTTGAGGCCCCTTCCAGCCAAAACCATTCCATTATGTTATGATTAACAATGCAAATCCTTCCTTTTTCTTTCCAGATGCTGTAAGAAAAGAGTACTGATCTATAAAAGATGCAATCTCTTCTTAGTAAGGCTTAGAAACTTAGTTCTTCCAAATGTAATATTCACCAGATTGCCCCTCTCCTACAGTATTGGAGACAATTAGGTAGGAAAAGACTGTATTGGATAGTTATATGTGATGTTGCCAAGCAGTAGAAGCTTTCATTATAATCAATGAAATGATGTAGTACCTTAAAGCACTTAAATTGCAATCTCATTTATTGAGTACATAAGCAATACTCTACTATATTTGTGTATAAGACCTTTGTTAAATTGCTATAGTACTTGACAAATGTTTAGTCCTGGCATTAATCCATTTTGTTGTGAGTCTTTCAGGAAATGGTGATTGGCACCTGCCACGAATAAGTGTTGTGAAACACCCTCCCTGACCCCAACATTTGTGGGAAGTCTTCATGCTTCAGGGTCTTGTGAATAAATTAATTTTAAGACCCACGTCCTTTTCCCCTTCTAGTGATACAGGTCTTAATTTCAAAGGGAAAGCTCCATTTAAAAGTGAAGCAGTTTGCCCTGTCAGAGATGTAATTTTATTTTCCAGTTGTCTAATACAAGCTTTTAAAAGCTCATTTTCATCTTTTAATTCTTCCTCTGAAGGATTATGTGTGTTAATAGTGAGTAGCAGCAGCCGTGCCACAGCAGATGCTGCTACTACTCTTTCCTCAGTTGTCAAAAAGTTTTGTCCTAATTACTTCAGTAAGTTAGCCATTTTTGAAAGGGACTTAATAATGGGACCACTGTCCCTTGTAGGTCACCATTCTTCAATAATCTGAACAGTATTTAATCATGGAGAACCAAGGAATCCCAGGGTTTCCCCCAGGAGTTCCTCTTGTGGTACATTCAGTGTCCAGTGACTATCCAAAACTTTTTTTTAAAAAAGATAATTCATCATAAATGAGTATCTGGCTGACTTGACAAGTTTATCAGTATAATATGATAGAAAGAACCACAATAAGTGGCAAAACCTTTGGCTACAGCGCGTGCGCACACACTAAGGAAAAGAGCTACTTACCTTCAGAAAGCCTGCAGTAAGCAGGGATCTCCAGCAAGATGCTCTCACTTCTACTGCCAACCCTTAAATGAGGTCTGGAGAGGGGTGGATCCTGGCTCCAACCCTTCTGGTCACTTAGGTGCATTGCATACAGCTGAGGTCCTTTGGGTTGGCCCACCCTTCTCACCAGGTGCTCCATCACTGGTTGAAGCTGTGACTTAACATTTCCTCTAGACTCCTCCACCCTCATTATTTTCAAGTTTCTGTGTCATGGAGAATATTAGAGGAAAAAGGGTCATTTTGAATTGACAAAAATTATTTCTCCCACTTCCATTCTTAAATCAAAGATCTGTTCCTGCCCATTAGTAGTGGATTTCTTCTGGGGTCCTGCTTGTGATACAGCTGTGATACCACATCAGTCTGTTGCTATGTTCAGTAACTTATTGTTTGGTGTGTCTTCATGTTATTGCCTCATCCTTGAGCAGATAATGTGAAGACATATCAAGAGCCCCTGGTGGTTGCATAGTAGAACTTCCAGTTTTCTGCTCCTGTCACTGTAGCCTAGAAATGCAGGAGCATTGTAGCAGTTGTCTTTCTACACAGGTTACATCACTTGATGAAAGGAGACATGGCAAATGTATCAGCACATCTTAAGAAGGGCAGCACAGTGTGCTGGCTTCAGCTTCTCACCTTGAGTAACTTCGAACTACTGAATTCCAGGGGGAAGTAAAGAAAGATGCAAGTGTGTGTGAGAAAGAGCAAGAGTGAGCCTTTTAAGTGAGCCTTTTAAGTAGGAGAGGATAATGCAGCTTTCAAATCACTTTTCCTGCAAGTGAAAATTAGCTCGTGGTGTAGACAAATACTGGCCCTGCCTGTTTCCCTCTAGGGACTTTATCACTGTCCATCATTACAATCTCTACAGCCTGTGTTTTGGGAAAGATAAGATTATTGGAAACCCAAGGCAAAACACTCTTGAAAAATGGCTTTGTACAATAAACAAGAAAGACAGCCTCACACAGAGGAGAGGCTGTGCACTGAGGATGACAGCCGTTCCCATGACAACGCCAAAAACCTTTCACCATTGGGTATCAACAGGAGAACATCTCCCACAGCAAGTGCACGAAGCCAGGAGCCTGCTTAGTCCTCGTCTCATAAATCATCCTGATGGACAGCCCTGATCAGCACTGCCAGTTGTGCACGTGCAGCTCGCCTCCCAGGCACCGCCTGCCTTTGGATGAAAGGAAGACCAAATAAACTTAAAGTTCCAGAGCTGGCTGTATGCAAAAGGAAAATTAAGCTCTGCTAGTGGTACGAGGTTTCCTTCTGTTCTCTAGCTGAGGAATTGCAATTTTTAATGATGTAAAAACAAGCAAAAAAACAGGACATCTTAAAACCGTTTAAGAGAACCACTGAAGAAATCATGTGATTTTGCTCAGCTGCAGAGAAATCTCTCACTGACTCCGGATGTAGAGACAAGGGCAGCCTGGGAGAATTTTGCTGTAGTTCATGCTGATCCTGTAGTGTTTGGGTTCTGATTCAACCACTTTCCTTCTGTGTTTGAAAGATGGTAAGAGCATTTTTCGCCATGGGATATTCAGTAGACCTGTCAGCTCCCTGATCTGTGGGGCCCAGCTTCTACAGTTATCTTAATGTATGAGAATCTGCTTTCTTTTTTAAGGAAAAAACCCTTATGCATTTGGGAAAAAAAATTATCTATCTATCTGTATATCTAATGTGCCCAGAAAACTGTAGTCAGAGATAGACAAAAAAAAAAAAAAAAAAAAAAGCTACAGAACTCCTTAATTTCCTTAAATATCCTTCTTGCTCTAAAGACAAAGCTGCTTTTTCTCATCTAGAGGAATTGAGTACATTGTGCTTTATTGGTAGGAGTTAGCAATATTCCTCCATAAATAGGGCTGTTCTGTTATCTTTAGCTTTTCAAAGCACGTTTTTATCCTTCACTCTGAATATTTTGAGGATTTCAATGAAGATCGCTGACTCTTCTTATTTATTTATTTATTTATTTATTTTTATTATTTCAGAGGAAGTTTTTCTCAAGTCCTCTCCAGCCACAACATTGGTTGCTTGGTGACGGTGTTGATACTGCAAGTGTAGGTGTAGAGGTGAGAAGGAGAGGGGATTCTGACCCAGCAATTATTCTGTTCTGTAAATGCCTACTGCAGCTTCAAACCACAAGAAGAAAAATCAGCAAGAGGATGATTTTTTCTTGTACGTTTGTTTGTTTTGTTTCTTTGTCTTAAATGCTGTTTTCCCCATTTCAAGCTGGGTGCAATGCATTCACTTCTAAAGCTGTTCCATACGTTCTGTGAGTCACCATCTTTTAATATCCACATGGATCTGCAGGGCCTTCAGGCTTCTGCTCATGGTGCTACAGTTCTCACATCCCGTGGGGCATGTCCACAAGTCACCATGATATTATAGGACCTGGACACACACTCAGGGTGGGATGTGCTTTGCTGCATCTTGTAAACATCATGGAGAGATAGTGGAAAGGGAGAAAGCTGGAACCGTGGTGGAATTTGTGCACATCTGCTTACAAACATCACAATGTTGCCTTTTTTCATGAGTTCAGGCACAGCATCTGACCCCACACTCCCTGAAGTAATAAGTTCCACAACTGGCCCATGCTGGAAATAGGGCACAATTTCCCTTCCAGCATTCCCTCATCCTCAGGCTGCGGGGCTGACTCTGTGCTGAGATCTGTGCAGAGTTCAGCAAGGCTCTGTTTCTGCACACTGGTGTTTTGCTGCTACTGTTCTTGTTTTATTTGAGGTTTGCCACTGCTGTTCTGTAC